TTTGTCGATGGTTAGAGTAATGCCACTTGAAATCACAAGCATTTATAGCATTCACAGGCAATTGTCATTCCACTTATTTGAGAGGTTTAACGTAGTAGTATGTTAATGTTCCACCTTTTTCGCGAGAATACACGTGACTCCTTAGTGTCGAATGTGTTCTGATGAAATTGCTCTCAGGTGCATGGATTGGGGCGACATGAGAGGCCTTTTTGAAGACGACATTGCTAGTTGTTTGCGGTTTCGGAAGAGATTTTTTGAGAGACTGGACGCTAGTGCACTCATTTTGTCTCTTGTTCAAGTCACTAATCACTTAACTGAGAATCTGAGCCAACGTAAAACACAATATCGTCATCACACTTTTCCGTTGTTTGCATTATTCACCGATGTATTACAGTGTGCAAGGGTTTTCATGAGGACGAATAAATTATTGCCATGGCACGGTTATGTTTTACTCCACCGTCCATTAGGAAATTTGTCTATCCAAAGGACGTTTTGCTAAATTGCTACAGCTACTTACGCGTTGCCTAGAATGTGGGTCTCTATTGTCGAAATAGTGACGCATCGAGGCTTCAGATGTGCACCAAGTTGCAGTGTAGTGGGCAATTTATGCGTTGCAAAGAAAATGCAATTTGGCTCGAAGCATGTTTCTCACAGGCGCACTCTTGAAGTCAACATTATAATTATCGAAATTGCAGGACTCCACTTTACCCACTAGGAACACTCTTTTTCGTGTGCCCCAGTTTCTCTTTGAAACCAACCACAATGAATTTGTCTCTTGTGCTCTGCAAGAAGACATTAATTTTGGCTTTGCGCAACATCTTCAGCTTGACAACATCACCAATTGCGTATATTTTCCTATCAGGCAAACCGAGACGACTATCCTTCAGACGTGTGTGTTGTTGAACGCCGCTATCGAGAATTCGACTGGCTACACAAACGGTTTCAACGGGCCTATGCAGTTCTTTTTGTTCCCGTAAGTTAAATTTCATGTCTGTATTGAATGAGGTCGAATCGCGGATAAAGTTGCCGGCAGTGTTGTATCAGAATGCAAGTAGGCTACATTGGAGGCTGAGTAAAATGTCTGCCAAACTGAATACTTAAGTAATCTCGTCGTCTAAAGACAATTTCGACGTTTTTAAGAACCAATATTAGCCATAATTTATCATGTAGAATGTGAAGCCAGCAAGTTGAGGTGAATGTGAAAGCCGATAACACGAGTAACCTAAAAGTACACACACGCCAAATCATGTTGTGGCAATGTGAAATCAGTAGCTGAGCCACGTTAATCACGCGAGACTGGCCTGCAAGTGTG